CGTTTTTTCAATAGTAATCCCTTACTTTACTCGTTACTTGAAAAAAGTAATCGGATTACAGTAACGCGTTACAAGTAACGCGTTACTGCCCATCTCTGGTTGTGTGTGTATCTGACACCAAGATGTTAGCAACAGATCCTTTAAGTGCAGTAAGTTGTGAGGTGGGGCCTCCATGGATCGAACTTGTTTTGTCTAGCACATCCCACAGATGCTTGATTGGATTTAGATTTGGGGATTTTGGAGGTCAAGTCAACACCGCAAACTTGTTGTGGTCTTCAAACTATACCTGAACCATTTTTACTTTGAGGCACGGTGCAATATCGTGCTGAAAGAGGCAACAGCCATCAGGGAATAACATCCAGGTGAATGGCAGGACCCAGAGTTTCCCAGGAGAACATTGCACAAAGCTTTACACTTACTCCACCAGTTTGTCTTCGTCCCAAAGTCCATCCTTGTGCCACGTGTTCCCTTGTGAAGCGACGAACACGTGTTCCGTCATCCATGTGATGTCAAAGAAAACATGATTCATCAGACTGAGCCAACAAACTTCTTCCATTGTTCTGTGGGCCAGTTGTGAGATCACGTGTCCATTGATGGTTCTTTCAGTGGTGGACAGGGGTCAGTTGACTGGTCTGTGATTGTGCAGCAACATAGACAACAAACTGCGATGCACTGTGTATTCTGAGCCTTTCTATCAGAACCAGCATCAGATTGGACAACACGGGCCAGCCTTTGCTCCCCACATGCATCTGTCAGCCTTGGCTGCCCTTGACCATGTCACAGGTTCACCACTGTCCCTTCCTGGGACCACTTCTGATAGATACTGACCACTGCAGACCGGAACAACCCCACAAGAGCTGCAGCTGTGGAGATGCTCTGACTTGGTCGTCTAGCCATCACATTTTGTCTCTTGTTAAATTCATTCAAATCCTTACTCTTGCCGTTTTTTCCTGCTTCTAACGCGTCAACTTTGAAGACAAAATGCTCACCTGCACCCTAATATTAACAAGTCCCACGATGAAGAGATAGTTATTAATTATTAGTATTTACCTGTCATTGATGATTGATTGATTGGTCATAATGTTACGTCTGATCAGTGTGTCAGGGTGAGAAGTTAAAGAAAAAGCTCCATTGCGTGGTTTTAGTCCATTTGTCCCCTTAAAAAAGGGACAGTTCAAATTAGTACAAAAGAGTGTTCTTTTCCCCCAGGAGGGCTCCAGAGACTTTAACAACCAATGTCAGGGTGCATTGACTCTGTAGATATGTTTTTTTTTTCCCTTTTTTCTTCTTCTGGGTTTGTGAATCAACCTCACTTAACAGAATAGATTCCATCTTTTTCAAGAGAAAACCCTCAGACTGACACTTGACAGTGTTGAAAGTCATCATTCAGTCAGTCATCATTCAGTGAGCTGTCACAATACAACACAATAAGGGAGCAGCTTTCTCTCCAGTCTTGCTTCTGTCTCTCCGTCTCTTATCTATCACTTCAGCTGTCTTCTTCTCTTTTTATCTCGTATTGTCTCACTCTTTCATTCAAGTTTTATTCGAGTAAACAGAACTAAATCCCACATTCCTCCAATTCCTGTCTGCCATCAGAGATGTGAATACATGACAGACATTTTCCCCTGACTGTCTTCTATTTCCAACCTTTTTGTAGTGAAAAGAAGGTAAACATGGGATGTCTGTATTTCTAAATGGATCAACTTTGACCCTTTTCTCTCCCCCTCTCTCCATCTCTCTCTGCCTCCAGCCCAAGATCGACACACCTCCAGCAACAGCTATTGGAGCAAAAGCAGCACCTGTCTTGGCCTCAAAGACTGCCCAGCCCCCGCTCACAGGCATAGGTACTGTACACTCATCACACACAAAACACACAGAATCCCAAAATTCCACGACTTGCCAACTGCTTCCCACTATGTCTGAATTATGCAACCACTGTTTCACTCTTTCATCTAATCTGAGATTAATCTGCAGATAATCCAACAGTGGAAAAACACACAGGAGGGCTGTCACTCCATGGCAGTAATTCCTCATGAATATGCCAAGTCACGACATAATGTGTTAGTTAGGTAATAGTATAGTAGTATTTGTGTTAATCTTCATCTCGCAAAATAATATCTATGCTTTTTTTTACCCCTTTCTAACATTTTTAGTAACTTTCTATTAAAATGAATCAATACTGAATTGATCATTAGTTTGAGGTCGCTGCCCTTAAAACTTGGTTACAGACAGTTGTTTTCCTTCTGTCTTTATACTGAAGAGAGGATGACCTTAAAGGGAGAGCAGCTAATCTAACTTGTTTCATACATGGATAAATTGAGGGACAGTGAAAGATTTTTTTTAAAAATCTTCATTTTTAATCATTAATTTTTAGTCCAATCATGTGAATCTAATTGCTCAACTTTAAATTCAGAAAATTCACATTTTTCTTTTTTAGAAATAACCTTACAAAACATTATAATGAAGTGGTGATGGACAGCTTAACAGATGAGCTGACACTGGAGTCATGTTTGCTGATGACACTGTGATTTGTAGTGAGAGTAGGAAGCAGGAAGAAGAGTGTGTAGAGGTGGAAGTGCACACTGTAGAGGAGACTGAAAGCCAGAAGAAGCAAGACACAATATAGGGTTGTGATGGGAAGATTCCAGGAGTAGAGGTAGTGAAGGTGAAAGTTTAAATACCTGGGGTCAACCAGCCAAAGCAATAGAAAGTGGGTGGAGCCACTATGACCTGCTATGATCTGTGGTTTGGAGACAGTAGCTTGGACACAAAGACAGGAGGCCGAGTTGGAGTGGCCGATCTGAATATGCTAAGATTTTCATTGGGACTAATCAGGAGGGACAAGTACATCAGAGGGACAGCTCAGGTTGAGCAAGACGGTTTGGACATGTGCAGAGGAGGGTTAGTGGATATACAGGACGATCACGTAGAAGATTCATGGATGTAGGAAGGAAGGACATGTTGGTGTGAAAGAACAGTATGATAAGGATAGGGTGAGATGGAGGATAGGCTGATAATCCGCTGTGGTGATCCGTAAAAGGGAAACCGAAAGAAGAAGAATTAAAAATAGCACCTGGATTGGTGCTGTTTTGGGGCAGAACATCAAAGTCTAATTAATATTTTTGTGAAATTGCCATTTTGTTGGAAAATCAATTATTTAAACATTTCAACGAATGAGTAGATAGAAGATCCAGCTGAAAATGGGATGAAGCAAATTTTTCTTAAGGAAGGAAATCAGCAAACAGGAAGCCGATGTAGGTCTATCCGAGGGGACCTAATGACCAAAGAACGGCTGCAGGCAAGCAAATAAATCAAATAAATCAGCAAACTTAAAGGGCAGAACAAGGCAACTGATGAGCGATGCAGTTCTTCGACTGCCCTAATTTTTAAAGCTTGGTGAATAGACACACAACACCGGACACCAGATCCCATCATAAAATTCATATTTGCTAACAGGTGCCACCGAATATGAAATCTGGACAAATACTCCGCTACTCTCAGTCTTCTTCCGTATTTTTGTCTCTGGCCACGTTTCCTCTCCCACATCCCATCATCCTCTCCCTTTCTTCCACTCGCTGTATTTCTGTCCAGGCTCCAAAGCTGCTCCTAGACCTGGTGGTATTGGCAGTGCTGCAGCAGGTCAGCCGGGCATGGAAGGAGAAGGCATGTTTTCCAAGATCCTGCCTGGGGGAGCTGCCGAGCAGGCTGGCAAACTGGGAGAAGGTAACGCCAATGAATCAGCAGAAAACAGAGAGCGCGCATTAAAAATAAAATTGGTTGTAATCTAGTACTGAACTGATTACGATAAAAAGGATAATAAAGTATAAATAACTGTTAGAAAAAAGAAACTTTTACAACTCAATTTTACTTTATTGCTCAATAAGCCACAGAGAAATCTGCAACATTCATCTAACCCCCTGTTTTTGTCCACTTTCCTCCAGCGATCTCTGGTTTTGGCAAGAAGTTCACCTCTTTCTTCTGAGGTGCTAAGATTAAGGTATTTTTCTCCCTTTTTTTTTTGCTCCTATTCATTCCTATATGCTCTTTACAAAGACACACATCCATAAGATAAAGCAGATAATGTATAAAAGATGTAAATAATAGAATTTCTCTTTCATTTATTGTCCTGTCGCTGCACAGTTCATTTTATAAAAAGCACAGACAGAAAAAAAGAATAACAAAAATAGCACGCTTTTCTTGATTGTCATAGTACAACACAATCAGACAGCAGTTGTATTTTTGGTCAGTGATTCATGTACAAAGACCTGGAAAGATTTCTCCTTGTCTTCAGTGGACGAGTGCATCTCAGACATTAGGTATAAAAATAACTCTGCAAGATGCTGCTAGTTCAAAGTCTGGTGGGATTTTGACAGCTAGCTGGAGCATGTTATGTGTTGACTCTTGTAGGCTGTGGGGAGTGGGCGGTAATGGTTTTACACAGAACAGCCAGTGTGTTCATGAACCAGTGTGTGAGCAGTGTGTCTGTGTCTCAGTGCCGTTGTGTTAGTGCTAATTTATATTTGGTCCTCTTGCTGCTCTGTGAAAGCAGGGTGAGAATTTAACAGTGACAATGACAGCTAATTGCTACTATGACCCACAGTTTGCATCACACAGGCTGTTTGTGTACGCAGCAGGTTATCAGCTGAATGTACATATGCTGCGCTCACTACGACCACCGGAGCTGTAGACTTGAGACAACTGATTTGGAAGAGATAGTATTTGTTTTAAAATTATTTCTGCATTTGTATGTACTGCAGACACCAGTGCATAATTTCTCCTGCTGAAGGATTTTTAAGCTAATGTACTGCTTTTTGTAGCACTAGCAATTTGATATGCTGACTTTTCAAAGTGAATATTTGTGTGTCTGCAGGACTATTCAAACAGCCATGAGGCCTCATACCAGAAAAACCTGTTGCGTTACCCCTGCTTTTATTTTACTAAAAGAGAGAGAGAAAGGAGAGAGAGAGAGCGGGGAACAGAGAGGAGAGCTGAGCAAACTGGTGAGTACTCAACACTCACAAAGCTTAAACTTTCTGCTGGTGTTTTCTGAAATTGCAGTGCATTTGACCTCTCGAACTCATGTTAACATTGTCTGATATTACAATTTATTTCATGATCTAAAACATGTAAGTGTGACAAATGTGCAAAGACTAAAAAAAAATCCCTGTACATACAATATAATGTACTTTGTAAGATGCCTAAAATACTCCTGCTTCCTCTTGAAGCCGACAAGGACTGAAATCCTCTGGATGCTTCATGTTACCAGCTTGAGCACGCACTGGCAGAGAGAATACACCGCTCTCTCTGACAGGCCAGACAGTGAGTTACTTTTTACTTTACCTAATTGATCCATCAAGATCTTTTCAGCCTCCCTGTAAAATGTTTCTTTTCAGATTCTCAAGTTCCTCAAGTGCTTTGTGGTATGTCAGTCACTGTTGTGATAATAACAATAATTATCACACACACACACAAAAAGCAAAAATGTGTACATCTGTAAATTGTCGTGTCCATAATACAGCCTTTGTCATGTGGAGATTATCTGCGCGTTGTCTGTTTCTCAAAAAGCTTAAAACCAGTTGGTTTATTTTGGATTGCACCTTGAAAGCTGTCAGCTCAGCCTTGTTCTAAAACTGTTGCACTGATTTATGAAATGGCAACAAAACATCAAACTCCAAATAGGATCCGAATACGGTTGGCAGCTCATTTTGTTGCTCAATGAACCAAAGAGAGCTAACCCTCCGAAATTTAGCTAAACCGTTATCAGTGTTTGTCTTTGATCAACGCTCAGTGTGAGACAGTGAGACTAATAAAATGAGATGTTTGCCTAAATACTTGATCTTTTTCTTTTGTTTTGATGACATTGCACAATGACTGCACGTCAGAATCTAAAAAAAGGCCAAGGTATATTTTGGGAGTTTTTTATATATACTTTGATGACAACATCACAAAAGTCAGAAGGTGTAACAACCTCACTACCTAAATATAAATCAATTATACCAATAGTTGTAAGTGAAAAAGTACTTAAAGTGTTTTAAACAGTAAGTATGTGTTGTGTATAAATTTCAGACATCTGTTTTTAGATCACATATTAATCACATTACTGAATAACTTTATATGACTGCACTATTCCAGCCAGAGTTACTGTCACAGTTCTGTTTGTTAGTCCACTGATGGAAACAATTTAGTTAAAAAAATATTAAAATTATATTAGAGGGATATTGTAGTTTTGGTTTAATAATGGCATCTGCTTTTTATGGCTTTTTTTATACTGTAACCATACATTCTTCTCTAACTTTAACCATGTATTTATATGCATAAACTTACATTACCAAATATAAAATCATAGGGTTAATTTAGGTAGACCACAAAGTCGAGTTACATGCTACAGTTGAAGTGTAAGTAGCTGATGGCTCGCCTGACCCGCTTTCACACATCCAGTGAGAGAATGTCACATAGAAATGCTTTATGAATTGATCTGCTCTGCTCAAAATTGCATGTCTACAAGCCACTTTGCAACCCACCTCCTTCCCAGCTCCTCGTGCCTTTCATAATCAAATAAGTACTGATCCAATTTTTTAAGTAAATATTTCAAAATAGTGCTATTGACATGAAATTCTCACCAGATGTAGCAACTTGGGGTAATGGGCAGGCATTGATGTTTTCTACTGTTGCTCAGGGTATGTGCAGTGTTGCATGTGTGCCATAAAAGATAATAAAATGAGCCTATAGATTGCATATACGTGTGAGACTTTTTGTGCATGCATGTGTTTCTGTGTGCTCTGCAGCCACACACCACATGACTCTGAATGCTGCAGAGGGAGTTCTATCTGTCTCTCTCCTCCCACATTTTGCTCCTGCTGTCAGACATTTTTTGTCCCTTTTTTCTCTGTGCGTGCTCCCATTTTTGCTTTTCTTTTTACCAGATCTTTTCTTTTCTCTCCATCAACTGTAGAAGTTTCCTATTTCTTGTTCTGTTACTGCTCTGTCTAATTTCCAACACCCGTGGAGAAATAATAATAATTGATTTCTTGTTTTTCTTTTCTCCCAGTTGTTGCTATCTAACCCTTGCATTTTTTTTCTTTGCTATATGTCAAATGTACTTCCATAGCTGCCATTGACTCAAAAACGACTTAAATCCTATGTTACGATCTCATGACAAAACCATGTGCATTCATGTCTTGGTTAAACAGCTTCCAGTCTTCTGGAAAGAGCCTGGTTGCAGGGGTTTGCTCCCATTGAGCCACAAGAACACTAAATAGGTTGGCCACACTGATACTTGCTTGAGTCCCTGATAATCTTTCATTCGAGCCTAAACGTTCTTGATGATATAAACTATTTGTTTCCTACGAGCATGGAAGCATTTCTTTGTGGCCCTCATCCTGTGCTGGTTTGCCACATTGACACAAGAAATGGCCTTCCTTTAATACTCACTTTCTCTTAAATATAATTTCTTTTTAACCTGAGTCTTCAAATTTCCCGATCTGAAATAATAAGGACTGAAACGATCATCAACCAGTCAACAGACCAAAATAGAAATATGTGTGTAGATACCTTTGGCCATATAGTGTCCCCTCATCCCACGATATTTCTCTGTCTCCTCCCTCTGTCCAGTTACTCAGTCAGTGTGTCTTTGTGTGCTCGTACTAATACATCTTTGTGTGAGTCACTGTCCTTGTTTGTGTGTTCGAGTTGTGTACCAGCCCTTTGGGTGCCTGTGCTCACTGGAACAGATTAAGTCTGGCGCTGGGAAACATATAAATATATGGCAAGCTGGAGCAGTTAATCTGGGTCAGGCACAGTGGAAAAGAAAACTGGAAGGCAGTAATTGTGCAAATATGCATTTGATACCATTTCTTTTTAGGGAAATACATTTGTATTGGTACTATCACTTACAAAAAGGAGCTCATGGATTGCATGAGTTCATTTTTTGCATTTTGCAAATAACATGAAACCATATTTGTTGTTATGCTAATTTGATTTGCAGATGATGTAGATGCTCCAGTCATTATATTTTGGTAACATTACTTGAAAACCTGCCATGCTTGACATATCTTCTACAGAGGAAGCTGGATTTGGGGATGAGTGGGATGAGGTCACTGAGATAGTTAAACAGCCTCTTTTGGCCATACCTGTCAGATGGATGACTTTCCACCTGAGTTCCTTAAGGTTCTGGATGTTGTTGATTGACATGCTTCTGCAACACTGAATTGAGGTCTGGGTTGTTGCCTCTCGTTTGGCAGACTGTGGTGGGGATCTAAATAGAGGGAGCCCCTTTTCAAGAAGGGGATCCCTCTATTTAGAGAGGGCTCACACTCTTCTGCCTCCTTGGAAAAACCTTCAACAGGTTACTGAAGAGGAGAATCTGTCTGTTAGTTAGACTTGGATTCAGGAGAAAACAATGCAGTTTTCTTTGTGGTCACAGAACACTGGACCAGCTAGTCATCCCCTGAGGATATTTAAGGGTGTGTGGGAGTTTGTCCAACTACCCTGCATGTGTTTTGTAGACCTAGGGAAGGCAATCAATCACATCTCTCGGGGGTTCATGTGGTGAGTGCTTCAGGAGTATGGGGTATCTGGCCTCTTTGGCCAGTAATAAGTCAAACCCATTCCCTTTGGGTTTTGGACTCTACCAGAAAATTTGTCAATGTAACCGAGTGACCTCCAGCTCGTGTTGGAGCGCTTTGCAGCTGAGTGCGAGTGTGAGAATTAGCACCTCGCTGTGGTTCTCAGGCTGAAAAGAGTGTAGTGCCCACCCCAGGTTAGGGGGAGTTGTTGCCCACAGTAGAAGGATCTCAGTGAGAGTGATAGATGGATTGGTGTGGCGTCTGCAGTGATGCAGATCTGTTGTGGGGAAGAGAGAGCTGAATGTGAAAGTGAAGCCGATCGATCTATGCTAATACCCTCATCTACGGACACGAGCTGTCGGTCACCACCGTGAATACAAAAAGCAGAGATGTGTTTCCGCCAATGGGTGGCTGTGGTCTTTCTTAGCCAAAGGGTGAGAAGGTTGGCCATTCAGTCAAGACTCAGAGTTGAGCCGCTAGTCCTCCACAGTGAAAAGAACCAGCTGAGGTGGCTTGAGCGTCTGTGATGCTTATATCTTGTTTGCCTCTACTCCTCTCTCCTCTGAACATGCAAATAAGAAGGGATTGCCTGGAACATGCAGGTGTTTTGCATTTAATTGATTACATTGTGCTGCACATATAAACTGGAATGTTTTGTCATTTGCTTTGCTGAAGCAGGAAAGAGTTCTGAGTGAATGAAAACAGGATTTCTTGAGCAAGACTCAGCACTACTTCTTTTTTTCTCAATGAATGACCTCAATCTCACAGGTGTGACGTAAATTTAATTGCAAAAGTGAAATGCGTAGAAACTGTAAGCACGAATTGGTGAGAATGATGACTTTATTTAGCAAAATCACTGAGCATTAAATTATTGCTACAGTATTATTAGCTTTGTTCTGTGAGAATCCTCTGCTTCACTAATGTGCAGACATACAGTAAGGGAGCATGCTTACTATCCACTGTTATTATGTGCTTGTGTGTTTGTGTGCTTCTGTTCAACAAGCAAGACCGGCAGTCTATTTCTTAGACTAACACTCCCTCTAGTGGACATCAGTACAAATGTGTAGACTAATTCCTTTAATGTCTGTGTGTCTTTAACATTTAAAAATGTATAACTGCAGGGAAACACTATTCTGCTTTATCCTTGTCTATAGTTTATGATGCTGTTCACACAAAAGATCTGGACTCAATCCATTGTCCCCTCTGTGCCTTCTATGTCAAAAGGACAGCAGCTGTGATGTTGTAAATAGTGGTTATTGTGTACATATGTGAAAGAAATAAGCTTTACTAGGTGAAGCAAAGTTACAGTGGGTTATATTGGTGCGGTAGCAAATGATGCACCACTGCTAATGCATCTAACAGCAGACTTTTCTGAACATATACATACAGAGACACCAGACCAAACGGGGTGTGTTCTATATTTTGATAAAATTCCTTTTCTGTTTTGTTTTTTTAGATAAAGTCCAAGCCAGGATCCAACTTCTGAAGGAGTCTCTTCATCCATCCGGCAGTTCCAGCCAAAGAAGCAGATGTGAATATTGCAGAGTCCTTGACCCAACCAACCCACAGTTCTTCCAAATCCAAAAGAGCAACTGGGAGCTAAAATTGGTCTTTGCTTTTGGTTTTCCTTGGAGATCTCCACAGCTGAGGGAGACAAGTGGAACCAACTCAGGCCCTCCATGTAGATTTAACATCAGTGGACGGAAATATGGTTGGTGTATATGGGTGATGCAGTTCTGTTGTCATGGGCTGATGTTCATTCCCGCTAACAGCATATAGGAAATGCTGGCTTTACCAAGCTGGTGGCATGCAGGAATCTTTGCATTCATAGTCCTTTGCTTGTTGCTAAAACAAGGAAACGTATCAACCAAACTCCCCTCTCTCCTCTTTTCCGTCTCTTTTTGAAGTAAAGAAAGTGTGGGGCAAACGGATTAAACCGTTGGAGAACTGCAGGTTTTTCTGGTACTAAAGACTTCTTGTTTGCTGACAAAATGAAGAAACAGAAACGTCTCTCTGAATGAATAAGATGATGACAATGACGTGGCCGACACAGAGGGAGCGTGTTGGCATGCATTTCTTTCCACGGTTTGCTCTGTTTTTATCTACATTCCAGATCGGAACTGTTCCCTCTTCCTCACCTCTCTGCATTTCTTGAATGCCGATTCTTCTTTCTTTCCAGTCCCTGTCAAACGATCCACAACTCGCCATGTCTTTAAAGAAGTGGATTTAAAAAAAAAAAAAGAAAAAAAAGAAATTTGGAATGCATGGAACTTTATATCCAAGACCTTACACTGTTCATCGTTACTTAACAGAGGCCATAAAGACACTGGAAACACATCGACATAAACAGTAACGAAAAAGAGAGATTACTGAAGCAACACACAAGAATCCGGCCACGGGAATAAGAGGAGCATTTACTTTTATTGTGTTTTTGTTGTTATTTGTTATGTTCGGTATGTAGAATGAAGCTATAAATGGTTGGATTTTTATTTATTTTTTAACCAGCCATTGCAAAGCCATTAAGACAATATTAGCCTGCAGTGCTTGTGGCAATCTCCGCAAAATTTGTTTCTCGGATACTGCTCGTGTTGTCGTAGGTGGTTGTCACTTTTGTTGATTTCTTTTGATTTATTTAGTTTTCTAATCTATTTTTTTTTTAATTTGCCTGGTTTTATGTTGCAGGTTACCAGTATCGCCTTAATCATTTTTACATGTTTTATTTTCAGGTAAGAGTGGCATACTTTTTTATGACATCCTGTAAACACATCATCCGTCACTTCCTTTTTTTTTTTGTTTTATGTAGTAACATCAGCTGGAACACTGGCCACAGAGAGATTAATTTCTATTTTTTTAAATTGACATTGTTTTGATAATTTTTTGTGATATTATTTTTCATTTCTATTTTTCATTTTCTATTGTTTTTTTTACCCCCTTCCATTATATTTTTCCTGACTCTTTATTTATTGTGAATAATTATAAAAGCAATAGGGCAAGAGGCGATGAAGTAAAGAGCACAATCATGTGTCATTTCAAGAGTTGGTGGAATAGAAATGTGTTGCCTCCGTCTGTCTAACTTACCACCGATGTCTGACTTAAAAGTACCGCAAAATTCACTCTTTACACTGCTGTGCCAGAGAGCAGGAGTTTGCCTGATCACCACAAGTCCGCCCAGATCTTTCCCTCCGACCGGCAGTAACCTGTTTTGGAGTGTTACACTGCTACATAAGCCGGCTGGAGTCTGATCGAAAAGCACTGCAGGGCAGCACAGAGGCACTCGAAAAGCAGACCAGTCCACACACTGAGGCAGAGCTGAACTTGACGTCATTTCCCGTCGGGAGTCAGGGGAAGGGGGAGTTGTTTGTGCCCGAGGACGATTCTTCCGGCCACTTCAACGCTCCTTTTAGGGAGGCTGGAAAAGGCTCATCTGAGCTCTTCGCACTCGCGTTTTTGTCAGCATGCGCCTTCACTCTGTCACATGTGCACATGAAAGCACACTCTAAATGGTGTCAAAAAGGGAAAAGAATTGTGACTGAAGAACCAGAAATTAACACATTTGGTTGTGTCACACAAAGTCACTTGCCTCCCCCCCACCACCTTTAACTTTCTATCGTTGGTGGCATCGACAACTCTACCCCCCTCCCCCCAAAAAAACCCTCTCTCTGAGACTGCCAGCTGTCAAGGAATCTTCTCAGGTCAGTGTTACCCTGCTGTTGCTCCTGCAGTGTATTGTGGGGTCTGTGGTAAGGTACTCAAAATGTACTCTGCCAGGCCAATCATTGCGAGGCCCTCAGCAAAACTAAATGGAACCAACCAACTTCTGCTGTATATTGTCTGTGTGAACGCTCGCTGGGAACCTTCGCATGCCTCCCGGCGCAGAAAACCTCAGTCACCTCTATATCGTTCTGTTCCTAATGTTTGTACGTGTGTGCGGGTTCTGTATGCGTGTATTTAACAACCATCATCTAATGTGGAGGGGAAAGGAACACAAAAAAAACCCTGAAAAAAACAAGACAACCACGAGTTTAATCACGACAAATATGGTGGGCAGAAGAGGCGACCTCTCATCTCCAGTCGTTCTATGCAATGAATCATATTTGGAAAATCACGAGGAGGAAAAGGCAAGTGAAACACACAGATTGGGGGGGG